GGACTCCCATGTAGTCGACGCGCGGTTCGAGTCCCAGACCCGGCGGCTTAAACTCATGCCGGGCGCGTGTCTGTGCGTGCCCAAGATCCCGAGAGGAGAATGGAGGAGAAGGGTTTGCGGTGTGGCCATCCCCCCTGGGGGTTGATTTCTCACTTTCTGTCTCTGTCTCTTTCTGGTGAGCACATGCGCCCTATAGCAAAAACCTCTCCAAAAAAAAAAATTCTTTAAAATAAATTTTTTTCTCTTAGTAGGAAAAACTTGGACACATTTGTGTATATATATGTCAAATATCTGTGTGTGTAAAAAGTGTGTCCCTAAGTAATGTGTGCCTGTGTACATGCCACTCAGCCACTATGTGGTGACAAGACCGGTGTCATTTCCTTCCTCCAGGACTCTGACTTGTCACCTGCCATCTCCAGCCGCTGTCAGTCGCTGACGTCGCCGCACTCCCTCATCTCCCCTTGCGGCCTCCTACATGCTCATCTTGTTGGCCTGGGTTCAGCTGGTGGTATGGAGGGGCACTGCCTGGCACTGACCTGGGAGTGTGTGTGACCCACTGACCCAATGGTGAGAGCCAGCTGCCTGCCCCTGCACCCGTTGTCCGAGGGTAGACGAGGCAGAGCAGACCTCACCTTTCCCTCTCTTCCCTCCCACCCTCTGGGAGGGAGAGTGGCTTTTGCATTTGAAGGGCGAGAAGGTGCATGAAGACACTGTTGGGTGTGCGTGTGTGTGTGCGTGCATGTGTGTGTGTGTGTGTGAGTAGGTGTTCTTGGGAAGGGAAGGAGTGATGGGACAAGGGCGCTATGTCTGCTTGGGGGTTGGGAGGTCCTAGAGGGGGCCAGCTTACCCTGGAAGCCAGGTCTTAGGAATCAGCCTCAACATGGGAGTCTTCCCATCCCTCCCCATTGGCTACCAGAGCCTTGGTCATCACACGGAGACTTAAGGCCAGTTTTCCCTGTTTGCTGCCTGACAGAGCTAGGCCCTGGGTATGAAAGGCGAGGTGAAAGGTGTGAAGGCATTGGGTCCTCAGCTCTTCTCTCCCAGGGGACCCACCGCATTCCATGTGGAAACGGGGACCCAGCGGAGGATTGTATCTCTGTTTCTCATCACTAGGACATCAAAGGCCAGTTCTGGAATGACGACGATTCAGAGGGCGATAATGAATCAGAAGAATTTCTCTATGGAGTTCAGGTGAGGTTCCATTTCCAAGGCCTCTGTTGGGTTATCTAGATACGGGCCGCTCTTGGGTTACTTTAAGAGTGGAAGAGGTGATTTTGCAGTGGAGGGGAGCGGAGGGTGTGCCTTTGAGCATGGTCTGGTCAGCAAGAACCTGGGCCAGAATCAGGGTTCTTGCTCCTGCCTGGACCCATCCCTGCCCTAGAGCAGACCACGTTCTTTGTACATGGAGGCTCTCCGTGTGGGCTTAGTTAGAAGTGATACTTTCCTGACTCTTCCCTCACTAGTTAGTGGTGGTCATTTTACTCATTAGGCCTATACTTTATTTTACTTATTTTTAGAGGTTTTTGCCCTACGGCAAATATGCTCACTAGAGAGAAAGAGACAGAGACAGTGAGAAATCACCCCCCAGGAGGGATGGCTACACCGCAATCCCTTATCCTCCATCTCCTCCTGGAATCTTGGGTGTGCATGCATATGCACCTGGCATCAGTTTCAAGCCACTGGGTCCGGGACACGAACCGCGGTTGGCTATGTAGGAGTCCAGTGACATAACTGCTTTACCATCTGCTGGCCCCAGGGCTACATTTTAAATGTCTGTGCCAATGAGTGCTTAATGCCGTTGCCATTCAGGGCACAGTCCTGAGCCTGTGTGCTCAGGTTTTCAGAATGCTCTTCAAACTGAGTGAACACCTGAGACCCCGTACAGAGTGTGCCGGAATATGCAGGTCCCAGAAGAGGGAGGGCAGAGACTCACAATGCGCCCTTCTAGGAACAGTCCCTCCTCGGCCCGCTGCGACGGGCTGAGAGCTGAAGAGAGGGAGACTCGCCTTCTGGAAATCCCTAGCCAAGGCACCACCAGGGCACCGCCAGGGCCTTTGTAGGGCTGCCCTTTGATGGGCCCTGTTCCTGGCACCTCTGCGCGTCCTTCTGTCTGTCCCTCTCCCTCTGTCCACCTTCTTCCACTCTCTCCCGCCCCATTTCTGCTGCCCTCAGGGGAGCTGCGCAGCCGACCTGTACCGCCACCCGCAGCTCGACGCCGACATCGAAGCCGTGAAGGAGCTCTACAGTGAGAACTCCGTGTCCATCAGGTGCGGCTGTGCTCCAGGGCTGGCAGGGGAGGGAGGGAGCCCCTCCTTTCCCAGTCGTTGACAGGCGACAGGCTTTTTCTCACGGCGTGATGGGGGTTACATCGAGTGTACCGATAGAAGGCGCCCAGTGAGCGACAGGACTGAGTAGGGAAGTCAGACCACTTTCCTTACAGGGTCTTCTTAGCCCAGCCAGTAGTTCACCTGTGAGGTAAGGAAGGCCCTGGCCATGGAAATGGCGTGAGGCTGTGGCTAAGACCCTAGATACAGAGCGCCCTTCCACGCCCCCACTCTGCTGCCCCGGGCTCTGCCTCCTCCCACCTCAGTCTGTTTCTTCGTGAGTCTCACCCACGGTCGCCTGTGTCACTGCAGAGAATATGGAACGATCGATGATGTGGACATCGACCTGCACATCAACATCAGCTTCCTCGACGTAAGTGGCGAGGAGCCGGGAGCCTTGTCCCGAGGGCCGTATGAGGAGCACCTGGGCAGCGGTGGGCGCTGTCGTGCATGGCGTGTCATCCAGGGGAACTTCAGACCCTTTTCCCTCTGTCGCTAAGTTCTGTCTCCTTTCTCTCAGGAGGAGGTCTCCACAGCCTGGAAGGTCCTCCGGGCAGAGCCCGTGGTGTTACGGCTGCGATTCTCTCTCTCCCAGTACCTCGATGGGCCAGGTGAGGCGGTGGCTTTGGGCTGGCGGGCGTTCTGAGTGTGGTCTAAGGTAGAGAAAACTAGAACTAGGCCCTGGGCTCGGCCGGCAGGCCATCTGCCGGCTTTTCCATGTCCTGTCATTGTTAACGGTCATCTCATCACTGGTGCCGTCACCCCTTACCCCGATAACTGTCCCCTAAAGGCCCACAGAGTTGGTGGAATTGTTTTCTGTGCCCCCGAGATGCCATATAGTCCTTCCTCTCCCCTCAGCCTCCTTCTGAGAGTATTTGGAATCGATCGGACAGCCTCTGAAGTCTGCCCTCTGCCCCGTGTCTAGTCCTTCTTCTCCCTCTCGAGTCTGCCCTCTGCCCCCAGGTCCCCGTCTCCCACTGTTGCTGAGCCCAGGGGCCTGGCCCTCCAAACCACGGCTTTGGACTCCAGGAGGCCAGAGATGCCCACGAACCAGGGGCTTGCTCTTCTCTTTGCAGAGCCGTCCATTGAGGTTTTCCAGCCGTCGAATAAGGAAGGCTTTGGGCTGGGTCTTCAGCTGAAAAAGCAAGTACTGTGGCCTGGGGTCGCGCACACGCGAGGGAGGGCACTCGTCCGGGCTGGCGGGCAGAGCCTCGCGTGGGCACTTCCTTCCACAGCGTCTTTCTGAGATGTACCTGGGAAGAGCTGGGATAGACCTGGGGAGGCAGCTTTCAGACTGCGGAGGGGCAGCCCCTGGTTCGTGGGTGTCTGACCTTGAGGCTTTCTGGAGGTGAAAGGACTTAGCATTTAAGAAAAGTACAGCCCCGGAACCAGAGTCGTACTCACATTTCCTTCTGTGGGTTCCTCAGCACAGGGCTCGAGCAGCTCGGACTGCTATTAAACGTGCTGAGCGGGGTAGTCACCATTCGGTGTGCGAGAGACGAGGCGGTTTTCAGCCCTCAGTGCAGTTCCAAATGGAGTCCCGTGAGCACGTGTCCTAATAAGGTGACGTGTGTGGCTTAGAAAGAACACAGAAGGAGCGACTCCGTCTGGTGGCAGGTGGAGCTCTTGAGTGAAAGAGAGGGAGACGGTCAGTGGTTTCCCAGGAGGGATATGAGCTGTCTGTGTAGACAGACCTGAGAGCGAGTAATGTCCCGGCGGCAGGGTCAGCAGCAGGTGTGTGGGAGCCCCGGGTAGTCGAATGTTGCTGGGGAAGTGAGGGGGAGAGGTGGAGCCCAGCCGGAAGGTAGGGAGCGCGGTAGGGAGCAGGGCAAGTCAGGGGATCTCGGGTTCACGTCGTGCAGTTGCGGGACGGCGAAGGGCGTTAGGCAGAGCAAGGACGTGGCCAGGTTCCGTCTTCGGAAAGCCCTCTGGTGGCATTGTGCACACTCGTAGGAGGGGTCGGCCCCGGCCACAGCGAGTTTAGTCGGAGGCTTTTGTGGAAGTCGAGACTTGAGATGATGAAGGCCTGGACAAAGCGTGATGCAGGTGAGAGACGAGTAGTGGGGTGTAAAACCAGTCAGATCTGAAGGCAGAGGTGGGCAAGTCGAACACTGCCGTAAGAGCCCACTATGGCGGAGATTCCTCCTAGGTTCGCAGTGAAGGTGTCTGTAAACCGCGATGCCCCCGTGTAAGTGGCGGCCTGGAAGAGGAGTCCGTTCTGTGTCGGACGTGTTCACACACGGCTCCAGGGCCAGCAGCTGGGGATACCTTGTCGTCAGTTCAGTGCCTGAGATGTGGGCAAGGCCGGAGGCGCGTCCACGTGCACTGCGCCTCCCCTGGCAGAGCGGGGAGAGAATGGGGTCAAGGCAGCACTCCCTCCACACCAGGCAGTCCCCAGAAGCCAGCAGGGGAGGCAGACGGGAACCCTGGCAGATGTCAGCGAAGCCAGGAGAGCAGGGAGGCCCAGGAGAGGGTCTGCGGGAGGGCCAGGAGCTGGAGAGGGGCAGTCACGGTGGGCTGGCAGCAGGTGGGAACACCTTCAGTGGGGTGGCAAAGTAGAAGTCAGAATATGGGACCACCAGCGGCGTGTGGTTAAAGCAGCCGGATCACACACGACCAGTTGTACAGTTCAAATCCCAGACCTGGTGGATTGAAGGCCATGCTGGGTGGGTGTACATGTGAGCCCCAAATCCCAGGAGGACAGTGGAAAAGCGAGGACTGAGGCATGGCCATCACCCCCCACACCCCCAAGATGATTCCTCACGTTCTTCTGGTACATGCGTGTGTCTTACAGCAAAAAAAATTGTTTTTTTAAATTCATTTATTTATTTTTATTTTATTTATTCATTTATTTTAATTTGACC